TATATGTGAAAATGAATCCTTGCTTCTTGTGGTTACTATAAAATCCATTTTTGGCTCCCCTTGCTGTGTTGATATTTGGGGAAGAGGCTTCAACTTCCAGTTTTGAAATTTGCTTATCAACCTCAAGACCACTTCCCAGAGGAGAGCCTGGAGCAGCTCTAAAAAGCCAGCAAGAATTAAAAAAAAAATACAAGAAAATAATTAAATAAGCCAAGTCAGGAGGGGCCAAGCACCAAGGAATTATTCTGTGAGACCCTGCCCACTCCCCCCGCCCCCCCGCCCCTCATCTTTTGAGTCAAACCAGTAGTGACCTCACTTGATCATATGCATCTATGAAAAGGAAATCCCAAAGAAATAGCCAAGGAAATTTCAAGGGCTAGACTGGCTGAGACGCGCGCAGAGAGACCCACACCCCTTCGCTAGGTGGAGTAAGGCTGAATTCGCTTCTCCCTTATCACTGTGATCAAAAGTCCCTTCTGTGTCAGAAACCCCACGTGCAAAGCTTACTTTCCACCCACGACACAACCCGGGCCACGAGTTATGCAGTTATGCATCGACCTGTGTTTTTAGGTCCATTTCAGTTATGGGAGCTCAACACCTGCCCTCTTTCTGCAGGTGGAGGAAGGGGCCCTTTCCAAGGAGTCAGGAAGGAGCTGTCCATCCTGCCTCCTCTTCCGTAGGTCCCACCCCTACATTTCACGCTGAGAATGAGAAACGGGTTTCTTCAAACTGTTGGGACTTGGGACTTGGGGCTTGACGGACTAGCCACGAGCTGAAAAGGTGAGCTGTAGTTTATAGTACGCGATAAATACCTGCCTAAGACCACCTGGTGGGACATTTGGGCCCCTGCACTATCCCCCTCCACCCCACACAAATGGGTGACGCGGTTTTGGCAGCTGTCGGGAGCGGGTGTCGGCAGGATCGCACGTCAGGCCAAGGGCACCTTGTGCTGCTGTCTTCTGCCCACGTGCGCCCACATGCCCCGTAGTTGGCTCTCCTGTCAATGATTCTGCAAAATAACTTTCAAATCAGCAAGGCCATGCAGTCCAGGGAGACTCAGCGGGCCTAACCGTGACTTCCCTCTCTGGTCTACCAAGACAGGTGCTTCTGGGCAAGGGCAGCAAGAACTCCCCGACCCTGGCCTGGTAGCCCTGCCCACGGAGATGTGGCCCTGGGACCACCCACCTCCTTGGACTACCAGTTTAAAGCAATATCCCTGTGGGGCTTCTCAGCGCATGTCCCTAAGGAGAGGAAGGGATCTTAACTTCTGGGGATAAGTTTGGGGGTGTGACACCACTCGGAGACTAGGCCTAGACTAGACGTGCCTTCTGGAATTCCTTGGGGCCAACTTTCCAGACCCCCGCCGGGCAATGTGCCCTGCAGGAGGCACAAGCGGCTGTCTCTAAAACCCAGCCACTGGAGCTGGCTATGCTCCAGCACCTCACAGAATCAGCAGTGTGCCTACCAGCGCCCTTCTCTGCAAAATCAGCCTCTGTGGGGAACTCCAGCCAGTCAGAGTGCTTTCAATGGAGTCACCATCATGTCTTAGCAGCTTGACAAAGAAATGCAGTTTTCAGGTGGGGAGGGGGGAGGAAACAGCATACCCAAGTGGATCTCTTTGAACAGAATCTTTTTATTGAGATTTATATGAGCAATTGACCAACACAGAAAACCAGTCCAGCTGCTCCAAAAAGAAATGTAAAGGGTGATGCTACCGAGGAAGGCACACTGCACCAGGGCCGTGACCGAGGACGAGGACCGGCCTCTCGTGGAGGGCGCTATTTCAAACGTGCACTACTAAGTGTATCCCAAGAGGACTAGAAACCTCCACTGGCACAGTCAATATGAAGAGTGATACAACAGACCATCGCTTCCTAGGTACAATATCTAGGTTGACAATATCTAATTCACTGGCTTCACTTTGTAGAGCAATGCACAGGAGAAAAATGATGTATTTCTTGACGACTGTTACACTTTGCCATGAATATAGTACATCTGTTACTACATCGATGGCTCTGCAGCTAAGGAGACAGGTGGGGCGTCAGCGTGTGAGGGGGTACCCGCAGGGCCTCCCTTCACTCCAGGTCACATCCATCACGGTCCGCTGGATAATAAGACCTCTTGCAAAGTTGTGATAACCGAGAAGGACATTTGCCTGTGGGACCCCACTTCCCACGCCATTTTGAAATAGCCAGGGGGCAAGTCTCACTCAGTTGTGCTGCTGCCAGGGGGGCTGTTTCTCGACACAGCCGGCTGTTCGTACCGCTGAGTCCGGGAAGGCCTTTCCAGGGAGCGGTGGCGAAATCATGTGTGATGGTCACATCTCGTGGAGAGATTGACTGCAGGTTTTTGGCACAAAAGAGCAAGAATCATGCCCTCAGACGCACCTCAGCCTCCACAGGGGGGCCGCCCAGGGGACGGTCCCTGCCCCACCACCCCCAACACTGTGGCTGGAAAAGCAAACCCACTCACTAGGGAATCACGTGGAAATGTTTTACTGCAATTCTCTTACACTGTAGCCAGTCTCAAATAAAGCCTTCAGGGGACCTGTCAACAAGCGGCGGCCTTCTGAAGAGGTAGATGAAGCCCTATGTCACAGCAAGGTCGCTGTCAGATGTTACCAGAACACTGCATGCTCCTCTCAGCACAGACCCGAGGAGGAGCTGGTGTGGAAGTCGTCCGCAGCCACGAGAGGGGGGTGTGCCAAGCAGACACGTGCCATTTCATTTGACCTTATGAAAAACAGCAAAGGCTGCCATTTCTTTAAATAACAAATGATACAAATCAAAAGGAGCAGAAATGATAAGGAATGTTTCTGATGAAAACAAACGTAAGGATTCAATAAATAATATAAAATGCTTTTGTGCTAAAATAGAACTCTTGTTTATATATATATATGTATATACATATATATATATATATATGCAGTTTAGCAATCCTTGTTACCCAGAAAAAGCCAAATCTATTATTAGTTAAAACATAGAAAAATACAATTTAACAGTAGAACTAAAAATTGGCCAGTGTTTAGCTTATAAACCACATATAATATATACATCATGGAATACAACCAAGACAGGAAATTCAATTTCAAGTCCTTTGTATTACAAACATGATTAGAAATACTTCTCCATTCCCTTTCCTTCCCTTCCCAAAATGAAAGATTCAGGGTAGTGACCAATTTTCCAAGACAATTTTGAGATTGTTAGATCTAGAAGATTTAATTCTACTATAAGAATGTGATTTTATTTAATTCTAAGATGCAATTTCTTTCCTATAGGGGCTTGAAGAAATGCAGTTAACATGTTCTGTAGTGTGTGCTTTAAACTTAAAATTTGGGGTGCTGCATTTACACGTCAATGCTGACCCACCCATGTTAACAAAACAGCTGTTCACTGTGCCCCCTCCGCCGCCACCCAGGCCCTCTGAGCGGGGACCCTGCCGCTGGGCTGCAGAGGGACATCTCTCAGAGACCGACGGAACTCCAAAGTCCATTTTGACTTGAGAAAATAAGGGGCATCATCTTAGAGTTAACTTTAATTCTACTGTGATTTTTTTTTTTAAAGTAGTCTGGAGACAAAAATTCATACTGACATGAATATTAGTAAGTAACTCAAGCCTCTTGACTTTGGGAGGGAGAGAGGACCATGTTAGATCTTACGAAAAAATTGTGAAGCTGTGAACTATTACGGTTCCCCGCAGAAATGGGCGGGCCCGCACGGTGAGCCCAGTCCTGCTGTGAGGGCTGATGGCCACCGTGGGTTTGTGAGAGTGCCCACAGCAGAGAGCCAGGCGTGTGCTGACGGCACTCAGGCCCCCGCGACCCTCCCAGTGATGGGGACCCCAGCAGACATGAGAGCCCGTCAGGGCTGTGTTGGCGCCCGGTCAGTGCCCCCTGCCCAAGGGTGCAGGCGGCAGCCTGAGTTCTACAGAGAAAGCAGATGGCCTCGGCCAGCTTCAGCAGCTCCACACCTTTTGCCCCATTTCTACCAGTTTCTTTTCCGGGAGGGGACACTCCCCCCCAACCTCCAGGCCATCCTGTCACAGATCACAGTGAAGCACAAACACCATGTGGGGGGGTGAGGGGGGTGTCGTTTTTCCCTTGTGTCTGAGTGACAAGGAAACACCTCCCCAGGAGCTACCCGAGAGCGCTGAGGTCTGGGAAGCTCCACCCGCACACGCCAGAGCACTTTTATAGACTCACATCATGTGAAAGGTCCAACTTACGCGAATCTGGTTTTCTTCTTGATATATCAGTTAACGTTTGAAACATCAAAGAAATCAATTCAACGGAAAAGTCAAAGGCTTGATTGAATGGGCTCAACTACTGACCAACCGAAATTAAAAACAAACAAATAAAAAATCATTGGGAAAATCACAGTGTGTTCTTTTAAATGTAGGTAAGTCTCACTGTTAACTGGTAAATATATTTGCTTTGAGGCATTAAAACAATTGTTTCTGATACCCATCTAGCATCTCCCGAACTGCAGATCCAGCTACATCTGGGCAGAACAGATGGCGTTTGCTGCTCTCGCTCCAGTCGGGCACTTCCCTTCCTCAGAGGACCCTGACATGTGACCCTTCTTTTCATGTTCAGAATTTGAAACGACTGGGGTCAGTAAACTGGCCAGTCAGAGGCCTGGGTACTTTAGCCTCGGCAGTGAAACAACAGTTAATGTCCAGAAGTTTTGCTGAAAAATTAGACATGACAGAGAAGGAAAAACCATCAGTTCCAAAGATACGAGGGGACAAACACATCGGGTGAAAATATAACCTCGGACTCACAAAAGTTTTAAATTTATTCCACATGTGTTGTACAGCAGCTTTGAGTAATCTATTATTTTTAGGTTTTGCTTTATTGACTCCTTTGAGTTATGAAATCAAGATTTATTATAACATAATTTTATAAAAATAACAACTTTATCTTCTTTGACCATGTCAAAATACCCTAACCGTATAAAGCTAAAATAAGGAGAAGATTTATTTGTGCTGTTGTCCTTCTGAAATGACCAAACCTCGGACAGATGTAACTCAAGCCTCTAGGATCGCTGTCACTCGAGGTCACCGAGTCGGCTAACACAGCGGGGCTGGGCTGCGGGGCCCGGCAGGCAGCGGGCCTAGAGGGCCGCAGCGGCGCCTTCCGTCTGCCAGCACAAACACCGACCCCAAAAGGCGGGCTGCAGTCCGGGTGCAGGCCGCAAACCAGTCCCCAGTACAGCTCCTCAAAAGCTGCTCCCCTCACCGCACAGGGCTCCCTAAACAAAGGCCGTGTACCTCGGCTTCTTGGCCACGCCCTAATAAAATCCAATATGGGTCAGGGGAGTGTAAGAGTTTACCTGGACTAAGTCTGAAGCAAAAAAAGCTCTCAGGAATATCTTCTGATTCGTGTTTTTTTGACATTGACATGCTGTTCTGCTCCAGAGCAAAAACTGTATTTTTTAAAGAGATGTGAAGTGGCAGAGCCAGCGCTTTGCAGGACATGCACGACGCGCAGCCCAGGGAGAAGGCTGAGACCTCTCGCCACGAGCCGCGGTGGCTTCCCACGGGGAGCATCACGGCCAGGCCAGTGTGTGCCGGCCGCCCGGGGCAGTGGCCGCTGGAACCGGCTGTGGCAGGGGAGATGCCCGCTGCGAAGGATGGCTGCTCTTCTGTTTCTGGTGGCACAATTTGGATACTGCTTCCCCCTTCTAAACCTGGGGATGCATGGAAAGCGCGCACCCCTCCTCCTGCACGGGGAGGAGCAGACGTAGAACACGCGGGCCAGCTGAAGTTCCAGCTATTATAGTGATGGCGGTGGGCGGTGGCCCTCAATATTTCTGTCCCAAAATAACTCCTATGAAGTAAGAGACTGTCGGTCAACATCTTCCAAAACTCTCAAAATATAATTTCATTAAGAAGTACTCACTTCGGAGTCCACATAGCACGCACATGTGAAAACAAAGATTTGGAACCACTAAAAATATCGAGGACAGGATGCAGTAATTATGATGCCAAGTCAGTTACATTGTTAGTAGTTAACTTAGAAACATACAACAAAATTGCACTAAGAATAGGACCAAAGTGTGGACTTTGAAAATTACTGCTATTATTTTTAGTCTGACGACATGACGACTTTGCTGGGAAACGCAACTGACACTTACAACCCCAGCATTTACTTGGGGCATAAAAAGGGCCCAGAAAGCAACGGGATAGATGAGCTGTGGAGAGGGGGCCCCCTGGGGTTGTGCACAAAGCCTTGATGCTCTCAGGTTATCACTGTCAGAGAACAAGTCACCCAGTGCAAAGTCTATTTGCCGAACAGATAAATGGCAAGGCAAGGCCAAGGCATACAGCCAGCCCATTTTGACACACCCATTCTCCAGCATCCTTTTTTGATAAAAAATCTACATTGGAAGATCCCCACATGTGCAACAGTGCAATTCCTCCCTCCTGTCACACACATCTATCACTGATGTTTCCTGAGGTCAGGCAGAAGGAACCAGAATCACTATGTCCCACAACTGCTAGTTGTCGAAACCCAAGACAGATTCACTCCAGCATGCACACACACCGAAACATGTGAAAGTGCTGTTAACTTCAACAAGTTGGACTTGAGGAGCTTTGAAAAATCACTCCTACCCTGAAATTTAAAGCCCTACTGCCTCTCCTTCAGACCGAGGTCGGCCTTTGCAAGGACGTGCTCGTGATGCCTCCGCTATGAGAGACGCCCAGGCCCCCTGAGAACCCGAGTCCTGCCGGCGAGGGTGCCCTGTGAGGAGGGCCAGCACACGCGAGGCCCCAAGGGTAACCTTTCCAGAAAGCAGCTTCAAGCTTTCCACCCCAGGATGAGAGGAAGCCGGTTCTGAAGTGCAGGTAAGAAACACGGTCGCTCTCCCATCCCCCAGCAGTACAGAGCAAAGACAGAAAACCAGGAGGTGGCTGTTTATAGATAAAATATGGCAATGCCAGGGCCACCTACCACCAACACTGAAGACAGTGCAAGCACTTCTTGGCCAGTCTAAGATATGTTTGATATTCAGACGTAAAAACTGAAGTGATAAGTAAGAATCATTTCAAGTTCTATGTCATATATACAAAATAAGTGTGTAACAAAGACAAAGAGCTTTCAGTTCCTCAGTAGTTTGAGTGCGGACAACTGTGATGGCGTTGGGAGGCACTCGGAGGAGAGGAGAGGCCGACTGGCGCCTGAGAGTGTCGCTCCTCCAGTTAGGAGCATCTCGGGTCTTCCTGGGCATGGAAGGGCCCAGAGATAAGTGTGTCGGGTTTCTACTCCTCACGTGTCTCCAGAAGGCCCCCGAAAAGGGCTGCCAACACCTGGTGTGGACTTCCTGGAGGCCCCTCCCTGTCCGCTGTCAGAGGCCATTGCTGTTCCTGTCCCAGGCCCCTCCCTGTCCGCCGTCAGAGGCCGTTGCTGTTCCTGTGGCAGAGCGGAGGCTTGGAGAGCTCCACCGTGGCGGGCCGCGGTTTGTTGAGGAACTTCGGGGCACGGCGCAGCAACCGCTGGGCCTCGGTGAACGTTTCTGTCAACTCTTTCTTCCACTGCACAAACTCGGGATCACTCTAAAGGGAAACACAAGGGAAGAAGTTGGGACGGCTTCAGCCATTCTGCCAACAGCATGTGGATTCCTTTGGTAATTAACCATGTCTTGGGAACCCCGTTCCCCACAAGGGCACACCCCTACAGTGATGTATCAGCTGGGTTATGCAAAGACTTCCTTCAGGGAGTCTCTGAAGAGAAAGAGGAAAAGCATATAAAGCCTTCAGGTGTTTCTCACACAATCCACCTTGAAAACCACCGCTGAAACCTGGAGACTGCCTGCCTTGGACTTCTGACCTCTAAAACAACTGAAGTCCATGAATAACAGTTCTGACAACAGTACCTTCACATGTGTATGCAGTAATGGAGTCGCTGAACACATGCTTTTGTGTGCACTAGTGGTCTACCTAATATGCTCTTTTCACACACATGGTCTCCCCCGCCACACATACACCAGTTAGTGTTAGGGATTGAACATGAACTACAACAGACCTTAGGGGAGAGAAAGGTGGCATTTCCACCTTACTTAAACATGCAGATCTCAACCTCAAACATACTGAAAGATTTGATCTGAAAAGCTATAATAAATAAAACTATGGATTCCTATCCACTCTGGACAGAGTTTCTGACAGGGTAATCAAAGTATTTCATGTACTTCCTCTTGACATTGCCTAATACTTGCTTCTTTAAAAATATTCTTTAAAAATATGCCTGGTGGCGCAGGGGTTAAGTCTCAGCACTGTAAAGCTATCACTAGCCACTGGAACATGAGTTCGATCCCTGGCTCCAGGGAGCTGACCCACAAGGAACAGCGGACATCTGCTGTCTCCCCTCTGCTCCCCTCAGCAATATATTTCAGTCAAACCTGTTCTGTCCCCTATTCTGTCCCTGGTGAATCCTCTTGCCTCCAGCACCTCTGGCTTGTACCCAAACTCTTGTATCCAAGATAGATGGTAGACAGACAGACAGACAGATAGATAGATAGATAGGCAGACAGACAGATAAAAATAGCTGTGACTTTGCTGAGAATCTCCTATCTTGGAGGGCTCTTGCTAACTCTGTAAGCGATAAAGCATGGAGAAGATGATGTTTTATAAGCTGACATCCATATTTGCTGAATACTTACAAAACTACAAAACTGTTCTAGCAACAACAAAAAACTCACCTCACATTGCAAGACAAATTGCTTCCCTCCTTTTATCCTCAGCAAAATGCATTTTTTGTCTTTAATTTGAGTTTCTTCCACTGACAGAATCTGTTCCATTGTCAGTAAATTTTGCTAAGAGTAAAAATTTAAAAATTACAAATCATTTGACATCATTTAATTATTTCTTATTTAAGTTAACAAATTATACCAAAAACTACTGACTCAGAAAAAGTTTTTACAAAAAAAGAACTTTTCTTTCTTTGACGATGCTCTGCGCGTACAGGGCACTGGCGACAAAGGGACACATACAAAGTGCACAGCATCAGGCCCGCAGAAAGCTGCAAAGAAAGGAAAGTCTCTGATGGCACGACAGCGAAGCTGTTCCCTCAGCACAGAACTGGCTTCTGAATGATCATGAATCTCGGGTTTGCTTTCTGATCACGCACACGTCTACATTCTAGCCACACGGCTGTGAGGGAACAATGAAGCACTATATATGATTTACACAAGCAAAGGGTGTGTACTGGAGTGTAAGCGTGTAAGTTAGCAATGTTCTGATCATAATCAAAATGATGTTGTAAATACAGGTGACATCCTTAGAAGATTGTCACGCCAGCTCTAAAGCATTGTAGCTTGAGGTGAATGCTATAGGGTCACGAGTACCTTACCAGTTTGTGTTTTTTTGGATAAATACTCCAGGAATCCTAAATGAAAAACAATATTGTCACAAACTCTCACGTTCTCTTTTTCTTTATATACATTTCCGAGTCCACCTACGCACATTTCGTAAAACAAGGCAATGCACTGCATCTGGTTTTAAATAAGGGAAACCACTTTTGTGTGTTTTCGTTTACAAGCATCCTGGAAAGTGAGCCCGTGAGCGCACTGGCGACTCACCACACACAGCCTAATAAGTGTGTGACACGCCCAGGCCATTCAGCATCTAGAAATGTTCTAGAAGCTTTACTGTTGTCTACTCACCTGAACCCAAGTTATAGTTTAGGAGGCCCAAAGAGTCTTATTAATCATATCTCAGGTCCCTGGTTGTTAACTTTTCGAAAATGACTTCTAGGGCACTCATAACCGTCAGACCTTAGTTGGAAGGATTACAGCACTAGGCAATAGCAATCACTCCTGTTAACAATGAAGTCACCAGCAAGGAGGTAGAGGAAATACATTCCAAAGCTCAACACCCAGATTCGGGCTCATAACTCTCCCCGACCTCTGACCACTGGACAACTGAGAGCAGGTGTCCATGAAACATAACTATATTTTTAAGATGTGGGCCTGCTTGAGATGACCAACCATTGCCACCCCGAGAGCAGGAAGCCTGCCTAGCTGGGTTGGTGCTTTCCATGGAGACAAGTCCTAGGGACAATATGGGTGAGACGTTTGTTTTCATTGTATTTGCAAATCCTATCTTGGAGATAAAGCGCAGCTGTGGTTTCTTCTATATGAAATGCACTTAAATTTCCCAACAAGGTGGAGACAAAAGCAAGGGTGGTTTGGGGACCTCACCTCTATGCCAGGCCTGCCTGCCTTTACTTCATTTTGTGTGGCCCGGAAGTGGGGAAAGTGGCGCCAGCAGGCTCAGGTCAGAACCACTCCTCACTGCCTGCCTCCTGGGCACTAACTGGCCCAAGTTCCCTCGTAGTAAAATATAAGATGGAGCCTCAAAGGTTGGTGAAAAGACTGAGTTGGTAGGGTGTGTGTGTGTGTGTGTGTGTGTGTGTGTGAGTGAGAGAGACAGAGAGAGACTATGTTTACAAAACGTGCAGTAAATGTAGCGTGCGCTCTACCTTCCACCTTTCCATCTTCTGCACGCAGAAACCACGCTGCGCTCAGAGTTGGGGGAGGTCGAGCAGGGGTGGTCCTGCACTGACTCCCAGATTTGCCTGACTTTGAGCCCCCCAACCACTCTCTGGCTTGTTCAAACCTGTCTGCTTTTAACCTCCGGGTCAGCATGCTCAATTTTCAGATATTTCAAAATCCTTCCTGGTCTCAGAAGTTTAAAACTTAAAGCTGAACACTGAAGTCTCCCGCACACAAGTTAAAACAGAAAACACAGTGCTCAGTAGCAATGTGACAGAACTCGGCCGGGAAACAGCCTCGCAGCACCACGCCCCAAAACACGCTCCCTCGGGGTTGGCGGGGGCAGGACTTACGCGCGACTCCCCTTCTCCTCTCCATTCAAGTCTGTTTGGAAAGAGGTAAAAATATCGACGCTGCCACTGAGTCAGGAATGGGTTTCCAAGTTTCAACATGTACCCATGCATAATACAGTCCTTTCCCAGCGCATAATCTGAGGAACATAAAATAAATGAAAATTAAATGAGCTGTGAAACAGATCTATGTTATACTCAGAAAAAAAAAAGATTAACTTTTTTTGAAAAGCAACTTTATGTAAATATAACCCAAGATTCTTTAGCTCTATTGCCACTAATAAATTATAAATATAATAAATAATTAAAAAAAAACAGTGATGCACTGTCAATACTGATACATTTTTGATGTTCATTTATTGTTCTTAAAGGGCAAATAATCAGTTTCCAACCTTATTACTCCATGGTGTATAGTGAGAACTGGAGAACAGAGACAGCTAAAGTCAAGCCATGCTCCAAGTAAGTATCTTTGCTTACGTGGTGCTGGAACTCCTGCGCTTAACCACCTCTTATCTTATACGGGATGAAAGGGTACGGTGGGGATTTCTTGTCCAAGTAAACAAAGATCAAAACTGCATGTTCCTCCACATGAGATCATATTCACCCCTTGAATATATGATTATGTAGAGAAAAATCAAGACAATTCACACTCATGTTAAGTCTTGATGCCATTTTTTTTTTTTATAGTGAAGTTTTGTCTCTTTAAGAAAAGGTGGGTTTAAAGTAGCTGCTTTTGCCTTTACTAATGGCTTTGGTGATCACGCTCATCATGCATTCACTCCGGCCCGCATTTATTGCGCCACAATTGAGTGAATGCCTCAGTGATGCACAAGGTCCCAGGACTGCATTCAGCAATGAATAAGAAGGCGTAACTCCTCCTTCCCTGAGATCTTACCTTCTAGTGGGGAATCAAACAAACAGGTAAGCAAAGGGCCTGTGGACATGCAGGAGGGGGCTTTAATAGGGTGAGTTTCTAGAGTTGCCATTTTAATGGGAAAAGGTGCCTGCACTTCTAAAGTATTTTTAAAGTATAATTTACATGTTTATCTCAGAAATCTAAGCCTTCTGAGACCTTCAACCAAGGTCTAGTAATTATATGTAATTACTTACATGTAAGATCAATTTTCTAGACATTCTAATTGTAGCTCTAACTACAAGAATACACTTCAACAGGGTATTTAAGATATGTGTGTGTGTGTATATATATATATATATATATATATATATATATATTTTCCCCCTTAGTCTAGTCTGTTAAGATTTTGTTGACACTGTGGTCCTCCTCTGAGCAAATTACCATTGACAATTATGTAAAATCTGCTATAGCAAATGGTACAGAGTTATGATCTCAAAGGACCATTCTTTACAGAAGAACTTGGGGAAAAGCCCCTTTCCTTGATGAATGGAGGTAAGCACAGTTAAAAGGCCATAAGAGTTCCTGGGTATGTTCAAGCAACTTTTCTGTTAGGAGGAATTCATCCAGGAGCCAGGATACTTTTCTAAATAAATGACAACAAACACTGCGTGGGAAACTGTTAATAAGATCAATGAAGTCCGCACCAAGATGCTCCCATCAAAATAATACACACACACGCACATAATGATAGAAAATAAAACTGCTGACACAGACCTCAAAACAGATCTTTGCTCAAGGTACAATTAAATGTATTATCATAATCATCAATCGCAATGTATGTAAATGGATAATTCTAGAAAAATCAAAAGTGACAATATTTGGTGCTTAATGCCATGTATTCATTTTGAAAATTCTAACAGCACTTGATTGTTATACATAAAAATATGGTTTGGCAATTCTTCAGTGCTGCTTAGGATATAGAGTATAAATTTATACATACAACTGTGACAAGCAATGCTAAGTTCCTCACTAGGACCAATGGGCCCAGTGCAAACTGAAACTGCAGGCCCCTTGTTCAAACATAAAGTCAACATACTGACACACAGCAGAACACTAAACCCAATGGGTCTGCACAAGTCACACAGGAAGCTGGTTCCTGGCATTGTGATATTCCATTTTCAAGGGAAAAAAACTTCCAAACTAGCCTCAAACACTCAAGATAAAAGAACATAATAACAAAATACTGCTGCTGATGTCCATACATTTGTTATTTACATGTTGACTCAAGACTGAACTTTTCTAAGCCAGGTAAAATTAAAGCAATTTATGGCTCCCTCCATGCCCCACCCCCTACCACCACCACTTGAAAGTATTTTATGACCCAAATATTTCTTCAGCTTTATAAAAATTTCAAAAATTCATTGCGTGATAAACATTGTGAGACACTAGTTAATTTTACCTTCTTCGTGGCCAAGTTGCTTATTTTTAGCTCTCTTCCTGGCCTCGATTTTATCCGTGTCTGTATTTACTGCTTCATAAACTGTTTCCGCCACTTCCTGCTGCCAGCGTTCAGAGATTACCAAAGGGAAGTTCTTGTAGAGTTCTTGGTCACAATCGAGAAGCTGGTTATTTTAAGAAATCCAGATATTTGTAACTTAACTTAGAAAGGCAACCACTTCAAAAGGATCAGTAACAGTATGTAACCAGATGGCCAGGGGACAATATACAATCACCTGGACATAGATGATTCTCATAGTAAACCTTTGCTGGTGACAGCCGGGCAAGCAAGATTCACACATGGTTATGGCTGGTGAACACTTTCTGTCAATCTTGGGTTATTTAGTGCCTGCCCAGTTTTCATACTCTCTTCCTTACATTTTTGCATTGAAAACTAACATGTAAGAATGGTTTACGTGAAGTGCTAGGGGATTCTGACAGCAAAATAAAATTCCAATTATGGTGAGAATATTTTATTTGCAGGTGTGGGCAAAGAAACCACTGTTGTCCTAGAAACAGTTACCAGTGAGTAGCCAGAAGGGCTTTCTTTTTTTTTTTTTAAAGGCTTATTTATTTGTGCATACCGAACTGGGGTACAGGCAGGAGGATAAGGGGTGGCGAGAGGCTTCACCAGAGACAGAGTGGGAAGCAGAACAGGCAGATAGACTAAGCATACTGCTGAGGGGTCAGGAGATGTCTGCCGCGCCATGCGGTCACCTCCGGGGCAGGCGGGAATCGAACTCACGAGGAAGTGGCTTTAGCTTGTCAGTGCTGTGCTTTAACCCGCTGCGCCACCAGGGAGGGCCCCAGAAGGGTTTTCTAACCACACTCAATCAGTTGGGAAAGTGAGACAATCAGAGGGTGAGGGAGGCTGAATTTACTACTCATCCCATGAATCCTCCAACTGACCAAAGCTTTAACAGTATAATCAAATGCCTGATGGTGAGGCTCAAGATAGTGTGAAAACTTAGGGAACTGCAGCTAGGAAACTTTAAGAGTTGCTATAATAAAAATTACACCTAATGGTAACACTTCTCTTTTGAACTATCCTTCAAAAGTCTCAGTTCTTTCCCCTAAAGAAGGCTGCACTCTGCAGATGAGTAAAGAAAAGGGTTTTATGCACCTGTGCTATAGCTTTGTGGCAGAAAAGCTAGCAACCTACTGATGGAAAATGACATGCTTGTCTTTCAAATCACAAATCTCTTTAGAAATATGATTTGCTCATTCCTTTGCCTGGGGATGAATGTGGATAGATATCATACCATGCAAGTTATCTGGAAAGGGAAGAAAAGGCGAGACTGAGGCTCTGCTCATAGACCATCAGCAAATCAGTGCAACACTGGAAGACGCTGCATGCCAGATTCCCATCTGGGCTTCCGAGCTCTGCTTCCGACCTGCTACATAACGTGTGGGCTTGCAGGTTCTTGGAATCACAAGGTCTCTCTCCCTGTTCACTTTCCTTCAGACGCCCAAGTGATACCTAGAGTGGAAACGCTAGTCTTCTCCGGGTCTGAGCCCGCAAGCATGCGCCCCTCTGTGTATGGCAGTGGCAATGTCACTGTGGGGTGCGAGATGGCTGAAGCCAGAATTATGGATCCTGGGACAGACTCTGGATTGTGACAAAAGTAAGTGGTTTTCAAGCAGTTACTCGAAATGCTCATGATTCTGCTTTATATCCAAGCCATCCCACCTCTCCCAGTTTCAGAAGCCCTGGATCTTCATGACTTGGGTTGTATGTTTAAAAATGAATACATAACATTACAAAGAAGAAAATCTATACTGATAGAGGTGATTTTTTTTTAAAGTAAAATGTCGGGGCTGCTTATTTTAAAAATACATAAATTCCCTGAAATGCATATTCCCACCAGGACCAGTCGTCCAGGCCCCAGGCTCCCCACCTACACTGAGCCACCATCACATGAAGTCAAGTTCAAAGTGCATCCTGTCTCGGCCTGTGTGCAGGGACCAGAGCCACAGCGAGAGAAGCTCTAAGGGTAAGCACAGGACGCCAGATGCTTAGATAGGCTATCCTATCCACACGAAGACATCTGGGCCATGGACCTACTCACTTCACAAGTGAGAAAACCAAGGCTCAGAAGGTTATTTAATTCTGCTCAGCCTCTACAAACAGGTCTGAGCCCCTCTGTCTGACTCCAGAGCCTAGATGATGGGCGACAAAACTTGAACTATAAGACTCTCTTTCAAACATCAAACATTGTCCTGGGCTCCCACATGAGAGCTGTATTTGCAGTATCTTCTGATGGATAGCTGTACACCTGATGATAAAGTCCACTGTAACAGCAGTCTGCTGCCAGCAGTCTATTCACCAAAAGCCCTCCAAACGGACTGTCTGAAAATCACAGCTGCCGAATGGAGCGCCCACACCTGACATGCATGGGGCTGCCCAGGCTGCAGGTGATTCCTGCCAGTACACCCAGGAGAGCCACTGCTTCAGGTCACAGATGTGCATTGCTGCCTCCACCCAACCTCCTGCTGCTGTAGGCTGGCCCTGCAAATACCCGGCCCCCCACCCCCGCCTTCTGACTCATGCTTTCTTCCCTGTCGCTCTTAGTTCCACCCAGCCGCCATCCCTTCCTCGGTTCCACCTGCGCTGGCCTCGCACTGCTCTCAATGGCTGCTCATGCTCCCAGCAATTTTCACGCCTCCTCCAGCCAGTTACCCGCCATCTCTGTCTCCGATCCTACTGTATCAGGTGTCTCTAGGGACAGGCCCTCCCAGGTCCTAGCCTTCTGCTTGTCTCTCTCTTAGCCACACCTCAGAGATGGTGGTAATAGTGTCACAACCCTTGGAAGGAGGAAGATACTTGGTAGGAAAAATGAGGGGCTTGCGTAAAAAGGGCACAAGGGCAGGCAGTGAGAAAGCACAGGGAGTGTCTGGGGGGAGGGGACATCTCGGGGGACGCTGGGGAGGTGGGGGCAGATGTGAACCTGACATGTAGTGATACACTCTGACTTAGAAGCCCAAAGAGGAGGCTTCTTTCTTGTGACTCACCATCTGTAATTATGCCTTGTCTACTTGGAAGAATAATGATATGAACAAAAGTTTGAAAAATGCAGAGGATTGTATTAAAAAAAAAAAAACAGTGATTATTTCACTTCTGATTGACAAATGCAAAATGATTCATGCTGTTTGCGTTTTCCATCCAAACACAGAGAGATCTAAATACTTAGAAGGATTGAGATGACTGGCTCTTTGGCACGAGAGTATGTTTGCTAACACACAGTCGTGTGTTCCTTATTCACATACATTCAAGTTTCATTTCAATACCAAACCTGACCATCTTTCAGTTTATCAAACACAACTGTGAGTCCAGAGAAAACTTGCTGCTCCCAGCTACTGCAAGTCCTTGGCTTTTAGTCTTTGAATGTGTAGTTACCCATTTGTAAGCTGCATTCCATAAACAGAGCAATGTGAACACAATCACTAAGCTTGATTTCCAATGAAAAATCCCTCACCCTCCAAAAACAAAAATGGAAGCAAACACCACGTGTACCTTGATGCCTTTCGTGTCCTCTTCATCAAAGGAGCCGATGTCAAAGGCGTCGGCAGCATTGACTTCTCCCCGGGGGGGGATCAAGGGCGGAGGGTACTGGAAGCCCAAAGAAGTATAGTCCAGTTAGCAGGTGACGGTGCAGCCCTCCCCCAGCCTGCCACTCTGTCAAGAGAACCCTGGCAAGCTGGCACCACGCGGCACCCCAGTGCCAACGCAGCAGAGCACCGAGATTCCAGATGACTTAAGGAGGAAAAAGGACTCGTGCCAAGTCATTTTTTAAAATACAATGGACTCTCCAGAGTGCCCTAGTTCAACTCTTGGAAAGCATGTACTCTGGATGATGAGCCACCATGCTCAGCCGGCTGAGCTTTCATGTTCCCCGGGGCTGGGGCTGGATGGAACCCTGAGATTGGTGTCCACAGGGCCCGGGCACCACCTCTACACCACTCAGGCAGGACTAGCCATTCTGAGTTCTTGCAAAAATTAGCCTAAAGCTGATGATCAAATTTTTCATAAAACTAATTTAGGTTTTTCTTTTGCTATATCAAAGAGAGTACTTAAAAAGCTTAAAATAAAAAAGCAATTATGTGGCTATCCAATCATGCTAATTTCTAAACTATGTGGTACTGAGCTAGAAAGTGTGTGAATTTATACAGCTCCTTATAAAATACAGTCATATGTTGAGATAAGATGATCAACTAAAATTCAAAAAAATTCAACTACACAAACTACACAGCCATTACATTAGCCAGATTACAGCTCCATTTAATCACTTATTAACTTATAAGAAAAGATATTTCCAAATTTTTTCCAATAAGGAAATGAGGAGAGAGAAGCAGGACAGAAGAGCTGGAAGAGCACTGTGGTCAGGGAAGGAGCCGGGGCGGGCCGGGGCGACAGAGCAGGCACCGCCAGGCCGGGGGCATACCTTTTGTAAGTAGACGTGTTGCCAGTCAATGCCTTTGAAAAAGCTGTGCTCTTTCACTTCCTGTGTGCTGTGGAAGAAAGAGATGTAACAGCAATGAGATGAGGTACATCTGGAAAGCTAAGAAAGTTTTCTCCTATTGGGCCCTCCCTGGTGGCACAACAGGTAAGGACACAGCACTGCAAGCCGGCTGCAGCCTCTGCAGTGCGAGTTTGATCCCCAGCCTGGAGCTGACGCACATAGCGCGGCAGACCTCTCCTGTCTCCCCGCTGCTCCCCTCAGCAGTGCACCTCGTTGTCGGCCTGTTCTGCTCCCCACTCTGTCTCTGGTGAACCCTCTCACCGCCCCTGCACCTCTGGCTTGTAACCCAGTTCTGTATGCACAAATAAGTATTTTTAAAAAATGTCTTTACTTGCACCAGAATCAGAACTTTACTAATGTATAAAAAGATACCTAATAAAATTAAATAAATCTGTTTAAAAAAAAAAAAAAAGCTTTCTCCTATTAAGAGCACCGAGGAATAACCAGCTCTGGAAACAAGCAGGTCAATATAGCCTTTCACAGCGACTCATGTACTCTTGCGTGCTGACTCTGGGAACACTCTCCTACACAATGATTTACGTGGGCACTTGTTCCAGTTTAAGGTAAGTGCCTCCCACCCCGCCACACACATATTTCAGTTCTGTAATCATGAGAACAAACTTAAGGAAGAGTTAAACCAGAGACTTTACATGTGAGGAGCCAAGGCGGCCAAGTCACGCAAGGTAAATGGCAGAGCCGAAGCTCCGACACTGGCTTCCCTGGGCACGGACCTTGGTGCAGACACACACACTGTACTTTCTGCCCTAGATCCAAGCCCCGAACGTCTGTCACTGTTATTCCAATGGGGGGTGGGGGGGACCTATGAAAGGGTCTGCTTTAAGAAATTAGAGCTGTTAAGAACTTAAAAAGGCAATAAGTGAAAGTGTTTACGTTACTGGAAAGTAAAACAACAAATCAAAGACACGGATAGTAGATGAGGCCAGGGGCAGAGACCACCGATCTGGAAACCCCAACAGCCAATGAACAGGAGACGTAAGAGTCACCAACAAACAGAGGAGAGGAGATGCCAAAGAGATGAAGTAAGAGCACTCCCCAAGTTGAAGCACAGGAGGAGTCTTCTGCGTGAAAGGGACCCCCATGTGCCTGCCGTGAGCCCCAAGGCCAACATCCTGTGCTCACACGAGAATAGCCACAGCTTCGAAGTTGGGGCGGGAGAAGAGTCCGTATCAACTCAAAGTTCTATACTCACTCAAAACAGTGATGGAGCTTAAGGACAGCAGGAGGGCACACTGACTATGGAGATCCGCAGCACATCTGCCTCCACACTTCCTCTCTTGCAGAGGCACTTAGGAAGGAACACGCTCTAGCTAGCATGGGGTGGACCCAGAAAGAGGAGTGCATGGGACCAAGTAACTGGCAGGTTTAAACCTGGAGAGTAAGAAAGGGAGGGGTCGATGGGATAGCGCTGACTAGCAGACACAGAACACTCAGCTCTCACTGGGGTAGGTAGGTTGAGTTCCTCACAAAAGAAAAATCAGGAGAAAATTAAAGTCTGCAGGTATTAAACTATTTTTTGAATGGTATTTTAAAAATTATATTTATGTGCATATATATATATATGTATATATATATACTTCATATCTATACATATATATGCAAACACCTGTGCATTTCCTATGTAAATATAACTAACTCAAGGTTTGTTATCAGGCCATGCAGAGACTGCTTAATGAACATTAGTACTGTCCAATAGTTGTAAATACCTCTAATTCATTTGTAACGTTTGAAGTCAGCCTACATGCAAAACACAAAGATAGATTGTGATCGCACAATAGGGAGTAAACATTGTCTCAACTTGACAATGTAAAAATAAAAATGAACGAGGACAAAAACTAGGCAGACCATGAACGACAGGTGTGTCCGAGCCCTCAATATTTGTAAAACAGGAACTCCACAAATACAGTTTGTATTTGGTGGAACAGGTACAACTGGGTAAATACTTACTTTAAAGCTATAAAGGTGAGGTAAAAGAGGAACCAGAAACAGTGTTTCAAGTCTTTGAGGGGAAAGGACGACAGAGGGAGTAGTGTAGGGGCTAAATGGGCTCCTACTACCGCTGGAACAGGTGGTTTTCCAGAATACTGACTAAGAATTTATACACAGGCCCTCCCTGGTGGTGCAGCGGGTTAGAGCACAGCACTGAGAAGCTAAAGCCACTTCCGCATGAGTTCGATTCCCGCCTGCCCCGGAGGTGACCACATGGCGTGGCAGACCTCTCCTGACCCGCCCGCTGCTCCCCTCAGCGTGTACTTCCTCGATCTGCCTGTTCTGCTCCCCACTCTGTCTCTGGTAAAGTCTCTCACCGCCCCTGAGCCTCTGGCCTGTACCCCAGCTCTGTATGCACAAATAAATAAATCTTTAAAAAAAATTATAAAAAAAAAAAGAATTTATACACATAAGCACATGATCTAGCTGTGCACACATACATAGGTGCGATGTGTATACTCATATACTTCTATACAACACCACACACGGGTGTGACGTGTGTGACAGGCGCACATGGCAGCGGTGACCTCTGCTTCTTGTGGAAGAGCAGGCGTGAGGGGAGCACGGGAAAGGTGTGTGTTCTGTCCTTTTCTGGAAGGTCTCCATACGCTGCTGTTTGAGAGCTTTGTCACTGCTGCCTGGTGGTTTCCGGCAGGAGGCCGTGGATGGGGAGCATGCATAAGACAGCACTTGGTCAGAGAGAAAGTAGGGGGAACCTGGCCACAGAATTCAGGGTAACCGTGTGGATGGCGAGATGTCAGAATCCATTTCCACCACCTACAGGAGGAACTTCTGAAGTTTGAAAGTCAGGGATTGCTTCAACTTAGTGACTTCAAAAGCACACTGAGTGCCACGCGTGTTTCTCTCCCCGTGAATCAAACGTGGAAGGTGGTCACGTACTAGCAATGATTTTTTGACACACTGAAATCTCTTGCTTTCCAGGTAAAGATACTGAGAGGCAAAAACAGCGCCTACCCGCCTCCCTGGCAGCCCAGCCGCCTACTGACGTCTCGCTGGAGCAAGCCTTCCAGGAGGGACTTGAGTTCAGGGGAGAAGGTGTCCGGGAGCTCCACATTCTGGGGGGATAAAAAAGAATGTTTACAAAATGCAGGCCTGGAAATGGCGCCACGCACCCAACCACATTAGACGGCCATTGCCAAGGGAAGAGGACTGCTCAGAACTGCAGATTCGTTACGAACTGGTATTTACTCTAAAGAACAAAAGAACAGGTCACCACCCAATTTTTGAAAGCTCTTATTTATTAGTTCAAAGCAACCAGTGCTACAGAAGCAAAAAACTCCAACAACTCTCCCAATACTGCTTCAAAATGCACATATCACACTTAATTGTCATTAGAATGTGTTTTTTTTTCTTCACACTAATAAATTAAAAAAAAAAAAAACCCAGACTTTACACACACACACAGCAATACACACCGAGAGAGTGGTACATGCAATTATGGAGCTGTGCACACGTGCCAGCGAAGTCTGGCGTCATAAAGAGCATCACAGGCTGGGGACGCCAGTTTGCCTCTTTCACCAGCTCACGGCTGCTGACTCATCTGAGCCCTCCCTCTCACAGAAAGATGGCTCCCCCGCCCCGTCTGGCCGTCCCGGCACAGCCTTCAGTTGGCCACAGAATCTCGTCCCCGATTTAAACATCTCATCCCAATCGAAGGCCACATCAGAAGAATCAAACGCCTTCTACCCTTTTCTACATCTCTGCACATTTCCCTTTTTTATTTAATTTCTTTAGTTGTGTTCTCAATTTTCTATGTTTTTTTCTTATTAGCAAATCTTGGTTTTTTCCTTAGCAACTATTTCCACTCATTTTTCTCTTTGACATTCCTCTAGTAACTGTACCATTCACTTACTTTAAGAAAGCAAAATTTGACATGGCTTAACAAAATGGAACATGAAAGTATACAGTAAATAAAAATCCGTTTTTAATTTCCTTACCACGGTGAGTGTCATTCGGTCTATCTCATGCTTATCTTTGGTTTTATGTTGTCTGAAAGGGCTGTGACTGTAGAAACAAAGAACACTGTATTACAATACGCTACCAGGTAGGCTGGCACACGGCACTGACTGACTGTGTGAAACACTGTGCCCTGGCACTGTCCATTCAAAACAATGGGAATTCAAATGCCATAAGCACTGATCATTTCCACAGAAAAACTGGTGCTCAGACAACTTAGGTCCTGGTAGAGTAAGGCTCACAGAGTATTTGAGCTGCTTAATCTTCACTTCAGTGACATTGTGGCACTAAATGCATTTAATAAACATATGCTATGGGTATTTCAAAATATCCTTAGGAAAAGAAGTTAGCCAACAAGTAATTATGAAAATGAAATCCATTTACATAACATCTGACAATTAGTGTTTGAGATAATAATAACTTTCACCAACTTAATTTCTTTTTAGTGAAATGAAAATGGATTCCTCCAACACACCACAGAACTACAGCCAAATTAAAACACAAGACAGGCAGGCCTCGCCCCCAAAGTTGGTCCTTCCAAGCAGCCTGGCCATTCCCCTGATGTCCACAAGAGAAACCGACCATGTGCTACCCCAGACGGCCAGGGCCGCAGCCTGTCCACTCAAGTCTGACAGAGACCCCAGACTGCACAGTCAGCACACCTGCTTTCAGGTCAGACATGGCGGTGCCTGGCTGCCCAGGCACACACGCTGAAGTGTCAGTCTTCTCCCTGACCAATGGGCGTGATCCATACATGTCACAGACATGGGGAAGGGGTCCTCCAAGTGCTGTGTCTGTGCTGGAGCCAGACAGCAGAACACAGCAGGTGTCAAACACAATGATCATTTTACAGAAATCAATAAAGATGAACCTTACTTTATAAAATGAATATCCAACTGACAAACTACATAAAAGAATTATTTTTACTGTTTACTAGGTTTCTAAACATGTAGAGAAGCTGGCTTTTAAAGGAACTCACTACTAGAAGAAAATACTAAACATGCCAACGTAACAGGGGTAGATATGATTAAGTTTTCTTACAGTTAAGACATGACTATGAAAGACTAACCCTACAGCTCTGTTTACAAGGCACACATGACATCAGATATGTAAAATGTTTTAAAGTTAACTCTATAAAATGGATTAGAATGTCGAACTAATTAGTCAATGTGATTTAGAAAAAGAAATCAAATTTTCCACACATCCTTGCATTCACTGCTCCTAGTCTGGTTACCCCACTGAGTTGGTTAAGTGATGGGCTGAAGAAATCACTACAATCAGAGCATTTATTATCTTAGATGTTTTGGTTTTAATTTCGACAAGAGAGGGCACTCTAGCACATTCTTCTTCTTCTTCTTCTTCTTCTTCTTCTTCTTCTTCTTTTGCCTTATGCAAGGAAATACAAAGCAAGCCCCATCTACTAAGAGCACTGATTTGAAAAAAAAAAAATCTAATCAGGTGAATTAGTATTAAATAAACATATGCTAATCATCAAAAGGAAATATTCCTTTCACCTCGATTGTTTCCAAGGAGGCGAATGTAAAATGACAAGCTTGACATAACCACCAACAATTACCTATGTGTTGTTTATCAGGCACAATTAAAAAAAATAGCCTGCTTGTATGCAAAAAGGTGGAGATAAGAACATGCTCATGGCTCAAGAGAAAAAGAAAGGGTTTCTTACATCTCACGAAGCGCTGCGCTTGGCAGTTCTCTCCCCAAGTCCCTTAGCCCACCAGAAGGGTCATACGCGGACCTCCCTGTGTTCTGGCAAATCCTCCTGAGCCGGATCCTGAGCGCAAAGCCAGGGGCCCAAGCCGCCCCTTGACCCCGCGGGCTGGCGGGCCTCTGCCACGGAAGGAAAGGGCTGGGGCAGCTGCGCCCGGGGGCTGCTGCGCTCTGACAGAGGAGCTCCGTGCTAAATTTAACAAGTCTTTCATGAGACCAGGGGGAGACCTGTCGGGGTCCTGGAGTTCAAGTTAGTGGTGCCAAACCGTTCCCAGCATGTGGGCACTGCCACTATGAATCCCGCTGTATAAAGATAGCGACTGCATGTCCAACTCAGTGAGCAATTAGTGCAAATGCTTTTCAGCTATTCAGTTCTGTGCTGCAGTGTTCAGAAAGTTTGTCTTTCAAGTCAAAGTCATGATGCACATCTGTTTCCAATGTAGTCTTGATTATTCTTTGTGAACAAAACCAAAGATTCTGTTTCTATTTTGGAAAATGTTAAAGAAAAAACCCACGATAGTAATGATCTCCATTCTGAGTGAGGCACGTGGTGCTCACAGATCCTGTGTGATCACAGCTGCTCCCCGATGCAGCCACTTTCAGTAGGAGACTGCAATTGGTCTGTCAACAGTTTACAACACAAGCCAAGTCCTCCCAGCAGCACAGGCCCCATTCTGGCCGCACCCGGGAACCGGACGGGAACACATTTCACATGGGCTGTGCAGTGGTCAAGTGTGGCTGTCGGAACATAGACAGAGTGGCGGGCTGTGAATTTCCCTCCAAGGGGCTAGGAGAGATATGCCAAATGATGAGGGAAACATATGCCAAAACACACAAACACACAGATATACCTCCCACACCCGACACCAGCCCTATCACCTCCACAGCGAAAAATGAGTTCACAAACAATACATTAATAATCACAACAGGTTAAAAACTCCTACATCAAGAATTCAGTTAGAATATCAAAAAGAGTGCATGTTACATCCAATATGCATTTGAACCTAAGCCAACAGCTGTCAAAATATTTATAAACGTTTCTGTTTTCCCCCACGTGTGGAACAAACTCAGTAACCCGAGACAGGGCTCGACTTCCCCAAACCACCACCGGCCCTCTCCTCATGCCAATGCCTCCAGACACAGACCATAAGTGGTGACAAGTTTAAGATGTAGGCCACTGTCTCCTCAATTCTCTTCCTTGGCAGACATGTGGAATCTGGCTTGAGGATCAGCAGCAACCAATGCTAACACACGTTAGCATGGACACATCCTCACGCACGGGCCCTTTGAGGCTCTGCAAGGCATGACCAGCGCCCGACACGCAGCCTGTGAGCAGCCTGGTTTGGGGCTGTGATCGCAGGCTGTGGGGCATGTCCTGAAGCCCTGAGAACTTCCTCACATCGACTCCTTTTCCTGTGTGTAGCTCATTTTTCCAGGGGTGAGGACAAACTAGGAGTACAGGGCAGTGTTTCAGCAGAAGCAATGGGTCACACTGGTCAGTGCGAGAAGCAACCAACCACAGAAAAGGAAAGAAAGCCCCCGGGGCCCACTGTGTCTCCCCACAAGACGTGGGAGTGCGGGGAAGAGACAAATGCAGCAAGGTCCCAAGCTCAGCACCGTGGGCTGCAGGCCGGTGCTCCTGGCTGGGCGGCAGGGCAGGCCTGCAGTACAGGCTGTTCGTCCTGGTCTCTCTCTGCTGCACCTCAGTAGTCGTCCCACCCCAAGTGTGAGAACCAAAGTCCCTTGGCATTTTGAGGGTGGCGGCTGGCAGGCACCACGTCCAGTTCGCTTGGCAAGGACTGACCACGGCTGCCCCAGTGTCAGGGCAGGGGCGGGCCATGCACTCCCTCCTCCTCATGCTCTACTCATTTCGGTTCCTCAGAACCCTCATATCTGAGATTTTTAAAAAAGCTGCTCAGGGCTCCCCGCTGCGCAGCATGTGAAAAACGTACAAGATGCTTCGAGACCTGTTTTCGAGGTTTTCCCACGGGTAACCTGTGTGATGCGGGAGAGGTGATTCTGCCGTCACTGAAGGTGGAAGGCGCGAAGGCGCCAACCTCCCGCAGACCCCTCAGGGCTGGTCTCCTGAAGGGCCCTCAGCTGGCATCAGATGATGTCACCCACCTGCCAATTACCCTAAACTTCAACCAGCACACCGTCTTCAGTGGCCTTTCGTTTCCTCCATTTCCCATCACCCATCAAAAACAGCCCAGACCAATCATCAGTGTAGCGTTACCAACTCAAGCACTCTGAGATCAAGTCAACTGCCTCCTTTCTGGCCCCGCAGGGTGCCCAGTGCTCACTCCCTCTGCCTGACCCCACCCCGCCATCTCACCTGCTGCCAGAATCCTCTCACTGAAAACAGACCCCAGTGTCCTGTCTTTGCTTAAAAGCTGTCAGTCTCAGGGATCCAAGTGCGAAGTCCCAGTCCCCCGCTGGAGTTCTAGGTTACCCCAGTCTGGACCCCGCCTTCTCCACCTGCTCTTTCAGCACACCCTCTGCTTCTTGATAGCCGCTGGCAAGTCACCCACAGGTGTTTCTGCAAACACATTTATTTTGTACCCCTATTTTGGATGGACATCTGCTCTGCCTTCAAAGCCCACCGCCCACGCCCGGCCCGACAGGAGGTGGGCGCTGCCCCAGCAGCACGGCTGGCCCGTGTCTCTGCTCCCCGGCACGCCACTGTCACATCAGTCGCACGGCCTCTGGCCCACCACCGACTGTATGCTTATCTGTCTCCTCTCCTGCCACTTCCCGCTCTTGGGTTTTAGTGCCATGTTCTTTCCCGAGAATGACTTCTGAACAAGTGACAGAACGAACAGCCTAAGATCACCAATCTTAGCAAGGGATCGAGATTCCTCTAATCCTGTTCACTACACACTAGAGATTCTTTCTATTTTAGGCTCAGCATAAACGGTGACTAGGCACTGACAGGGCTGGCCATCTCTGAAACACAACACTCCTTCACTCTTACTCTGGAATCTTCTTTCTCCTTAAAACCCAACCCTTGGAACGAAGCAGCACGTACACACAGTCGTCCCCTCTGGAGGACGGCTCTGAGAGGTAACGCGCTTACAGTTCCCAGCGTGGACCGACTCTTCGCTCTTCCCTCGTAAGACACGGCTCCTACCTCTCCTCATCTTCCTTCTCTCTCCCCCAGCCCTTCCCCTTCTTCCTCTTCCCTCCATGTCCCCTCTCCACCCTCTGTTCGCAAAGTCCCTGGTGGCCAGTCCCCTCTCACCAGGATTGACACCCAGCATAATGCTTCAGCCCAGCAGAACAGGACTTGACAGAGGAATCCACACCTCGCACAGAGTTCAAAACCAATAAAACCTTCAGGGTTTTTAAAAACTAGGGTTATGCCAGACTGTTTCGAATCTGTACACAATTTCATTTCTGTGGTTTAAAAACAAACATTAATTTTAGCATGTTTGCAAATAAACATATATTTTAAAAAATGGATGCATTTGGGGTAGTCTTTTGTTTGGAATAAATGGACATTATTATAAACAGAGTAACAAGGTTAAGCTAAATGCAAGGCTTTGAAGGTTAGATCTTACTATTGAGTGTCCAATCTGCAGCTAATGCAGCCATCGCCCTAGCTGCTTTATCACCTCATAATCCTGCCAGGGTAGGTTCCACACCTCCAACCCCAGCTCCTGTGGGGACACACACACCCTGGCAGGACCCACGTGTCCACTGGGTAGCCTGTACCCGTCCCCCCAGCCCCCATGGGACAGCGTCTCCTGCGGGAAGTGGTTTTCTCTGGTGTGCTTCGCAGAAACTCTCTAATTCAGTCAGCTAGTCTGATGACATAAATTAAAGCCATCCAGACTCCACAAATACAATAATTAGATTTGGAACTAACAGGACCTGACTTTCTAAGCAATAATATAATTTTACTTCCCAAGTGAATATGGTGAGCAGAGAACAACTGGATTATCTGAGTCCTGGGGAAGCGGCGAGGGTGCTGGGAATCTCGTTTGGGAGAAGAGAAGGACCAGTCCTTCCCGGACTGCCCAGACGCCATGAGCAGCAGCCGGCACTCAGTGCCACTGCCAGTGGGCTAAGTGGTTTAGCAAACTGTCAGGCCTGTGCTCACAGGAGAACTGTCAGAGGGCGAAACTGGACTAGGAAACCTTACTGTGAAGTGCTTTCTCATCTTTGCAAGTGGAAAATAATGAGACATATCCTAAAAGCTTAAGATAGCTATTAAAATTGAAAAAGATTTCTTAAAATTAATGGGAATATTAATATTAACCTGTTAAGTATTCGATATGAGAACATAGCTTCAGAGAGCTTCTACTTCACAACCTTTCTGCTCTTGGTAGTTTAGAATTAAGGGTTAAATATAACTAAAATAATTAAAAACACCAAATTTTACAATTTCATTTTTGTGTTTAAAAAACACTAATTTCAGCAGGTTTACAAATAAATGTACACTTAACATGGATTCACTTTGGAGTCTTCATCCTCTTTTTTTTTTTTTTCCTAAGCCATTCCAATGCTTGATACTCATAAATCAATTCTAGGGAGAAACTGTCCCACTAGCTCCAATTATCCACAATTTAAAACAACACTGCCCCAAATTAAACTTGTTAATGGAAAAGTTTCAGAGCAGTCTTATTTTAAGTGTAAGCGTGTTGGAATTCCTACGTGGTGCGGAACAAAAATATCAAGCCATAAGCCTTCGTCTAGGAACAAGTTCCCACCCTGGTGAGGCTGGCAGCGGGTGTGGCTCAGAGCTCACGGTATGGCCTAAAATAGGACTCGGGTCAGTCACGCCTCAACAGTCTTGAGTTTGGCCTGAGCACGTGCCCGAGGACGGGACTGGAAGGACGGTCCCCACTCACCCTCTCAGCAGCTTGAACAGCATGCAGCCCAGGGAGAACCAGTCGGCACTGCTGTCATAGGCTGTCCCCTTCTGCAGCACCTCGGGGGCCATGTACCCATGGGTGCCCCTAGGGAGAGAAAGCGTACAGCAGTTAGCAGAGCGGGCCCACCTGGAGATGGGAGTCACAGGGTCGGGTGTCACCGGCCCTGTAGTCACAGCTGAAAACAAGAGAGGGGACACAGTGGTTTCACATGCCCACAGCTCTGGGAACACCCGGCGGGGAAACCATGTTTGCTATCCCCCTTCACATGTGAGTTAATACAGATTGATCACTGTAAGAAATAAGCATAGAGAATGCAAGCGCCACAGTCTAAGGAGGTAGAATCTGAATCTCATTAGTCCTTCTCTACCACAGCTTTGAAGACTAACGGGTCCTGCTGCTATAGATAGATCTTCCCGTCTCTTGCAAAGAGAGGCTTGGGGAGCCGAGGGAAGTAGGAGGGGTCCAGGGTGGAGGGCGGACGGTGGAAAGCCACTCTGGCATGGCTCCACCCTCCCGTGATGATGACCTGCCAAGGGCCCTTGGTAGCCCCCATCCTTACGCAGTCGGTGACAGCCCCGGAGGGCAGGGGAGATTTGGGGATATAACTGACAGGCACCTGAGATGGAGAAATAATGAATCCTTTTCAAAGTGCTGACAGGTCAAAGGGCTCAGCTAAGAAATGTAAAGACATTGGCAGGAAGTTCAGAAAGTTCATGTGGGAAGACAACCATCTTACACATCATTTGTTCTTTGTGCACATTAGGGCCCATCCTGCCCTCTGCCCACCTGCCCACCTGGGAGAGCCGAGCATACACCGTTCCATCCTGAAGAGAGGTGGTTATGGGCACCAGAAAGACACCGACTTGAAAGTCACCTTCTGTCTTGCCTCCCAAGATCTGCAGCCTTCAATGATCTGTTTCACTGACAAATGGGTACAGCGGCCTTGAGCAGCTGACTGCACCCCTCAGGGCTGCTGTGCAGACTGCGCAGTCTCTGAGAATGGGCTCAGAACAGGGTGACACGTGAGGAGCACTCAACCCATGCTAGGGGTTACAGTCTTTACTCTCAGTGTATTACAACCATTTTTGACTGACTAATGCTCAAAAACAGTGAGAATCTGCTCAGAGACAGGATCCAGGGTCACTCACCATCTTGGATCAGCCCAGCCATGGTGCCCTACACCAAAGAGGCCTGTTGCCAAAGAGTTTTAACCGAACAGTGAAAAGGGGTGCAGGTCAACCTGAAAGGCCGGGTACTGGGAAAGCAGCACTGTCCAGAAGCCAGAGCTTGGCCGGTGCAGCCATCACGATACTCGAGAACACAGAGGTTTCGCGAGGGGTCGGCAGAGGGATATGTGGATTTCACTTGGGAGCCGCTTTGGAAAACCTTGGTGGGACCTTGGAAATTCCACCTGTGTTTCTCAGGACCAAAACCTGGTTCTGAAAGGGCAGGTGTCAGTGAGGACACATGCATGCAGTTACTGCAGGCAGGCCCGGGCCCCCAGGACAGAGCAGCGCCCGCCCGTCCGCCCACGCTGTGGTTTTCCGATTCTGCCTACACGTCAGCTACCAGTGCTTCCTGGCGCCTCCCTCTGAGGCTCTGCACTACTACTGATGTGAAAGAACACCAGAGCGTTTAGAGACTCTGTGACACGAGACACAGCTTTGTGTTCTTAGAAGAAATGAGCTGGTACTTGAATTAGTCACCGACAGCATGCGCGGCTCCCAAGCTGTCGTTAGACGTTCCATGGCTACTGCATGGCTAACTTCGAAGTTTATGAAAACGTGTGCTTCTACGACCGAGGGGCCTACATCTCAGCTCAGATCGGGAACTCGACTGGGAGGGTCAGACAGATGAACTAACTCCAAGGACAACATCTACAGGTCTGAAAGACCCTGAGAAGCCGGCTTCAGACTGAAATTCTGGCCAACACTCCTTAACACTGCCAAGCCTTGCAAAGTCTGGCCTCTCACTATGAAGAGCACAAGCTCTGGCGTCAGACAGACCTGGGTGTAATTTTAGCCATGAAGAACCAGCTGTGCGGCCTTGCTTAGTAGGTGACTTAATTCCACTGAACCTCACTTTCCACACCATAAAGAGTCGCGATTAAACTAATCAGCTAGAGGCCACCGTGAAGATCGAGAGTCCACAGCACCAGCCTCCGGCGGCAGGGGAAGCTGATGCCTGACGTGATGGACAAGTGCGGCTGCTTCCCACTGGCTCCCTGGGCTGCCGGCTCCAGGTGCCAGGGATTCTTTCTGTCTCGGTCTCTGCTGTGTCTCTGGCACCTGGCACATGGCCGATGTTAGATAAATACTCGCTTAGTTGACTTAGCCCTCACGACTATCACAAAAGTAAGTATCACTGCTATCTCCATTTTATAGTGGAGAAAAGTGAGACCAGCACAGCGTGGGAGGATTCAAACCCAGACCTGCTGACTCAGAAGCCTTTATTCCCCACTGCAGCACCCCTCCTTCGCTTAAAAACAGTGTCTCGTGCACTTATCCTTTCCAGTCGCGGTCTCACATCACCCCAGTCCTACCTGGGAACAGAGGCTGTTCATACACTGTGATTTACAGATTCTGCAAAGGAACAACCCACCTTTCAGGGCTGCTGTGTGAATTACAGCAAGGGGCGGGGTAGGCCCCATATGGAAATAAACAGCCCCCATTATCCAAAAGTTAATTCCTTTGGAAGATTAACTCTTACGAGCTGTTGAATTCATATTTGGCTGCGACCACACTAAATTGAAGAAATTAGCATGCCAAGTAGCGATGGCATTAAAAATTCAAATGACTCTCTTAAAAATGTCTGATGAACTCCCTGAGAGAAGCTTATGCAAACCACAGGTTCAGGCCTAAAAACTTTAAAGTGCTGGCAAAATGCTAATGCTTTTATCACCATACTCCAGCTTCTGTAGAGAAACATGTTTACAGAAGTGGTATTACTGACTATTATCATTTGATCAGAGCTTCAAGAGGCAGTTCTGATGTAACACAGCCCCTCGCACTCACTGCATTCAGAGCTGCGTTATTCTGCTCCCACAAAAAAGGACCTGCGGCCTATTTTCTGCATGGATGAGGCAATGAGACTCCTGAGTTTCCTCTAGAACAATCAATGCAGAGACGAAGGTTAGCTGAAGATGCATAATTTACATTCTTTAAAAATATAATTTTAAAGGAGTCAGGACTGACAATGAAACATTTAAAATGAAAAAAAAAAAAAAAAAAAAAAAAAGAACAAGCGAAAACCACCTGCTTTTCCACAAACTTCACACGCGCCCATACTCTCCACCCAGACAAACCGATGCCAGCGAAACTGAAACAAAGACCAGTACACATTCCACTCTGCTTCTGCAGAGCACTGAGACAGCTGCTATCCTTTAACGGCCTCAGGTTCAAAGCAGCAGCAGCCAGGGCGGCCAGGCACTGAGCCAGCCAGGGCGCCAGGAGCACCTCAGGTGTGTTGAGGGGGCTGGGCCCAGCAGGGAACTCCTCCCGGCAGCTGGCTGGAGGACGATGTGGTGCTGAACTCTAGCTACAGGGCCTGCACTAAAGGCCGGAACAGCAAGGAGATGATTTACCTTTTTTTAATTAGGCAGGGGAAAAATACTTTTCTCTTCAGAAAAGAAAAGACATTTTGAAAACAGAAAGGATAAAGCAGATGGAGAGAAACCTGGTATATGGGATCTTCTCTGGAGTTTCTGCAGCCACCTCACACTCTCAGGGGTATGCAGGTGCTTTCCTATGTCCATGTGGCATGGTGACGGGACTGATTAAGACACTGAGAGTCCAAGAGGTAACCTGACTGGCCAGGTGACAGCCCAGCGGACCTGAGTCCTGGCTGTGGGGGGGCGCCCCCAGGCCTCTGGCCCCGGCAGCTGAGTCAGCCTCAGTCACGGGTCCATCCAACTCCAGGGGCCATGGACCACCAGGAACACCTCGAGGTGCCCTTATCTCCTCTCCCACCACCCTGGACATGTGGTCTTCCCGACCCGGCGTTCCCACATACTGAAAATCACTGCCGGCAAGGAAAGGTGGGGTGAGAAATGACCCAACCAAGCTCTGAGGGAGTAAACGAGCCTCATTAGAGAAATGTCAGTGGGGACAGTAGATGCACTACTCACACACTTGCATGCGGCTTCTTCTTTGAAAAATCACAGGCCAGACCGAGGTCTGATATCCTAACGTGTCCGTGTTCGTCCAAGAGGATATTTGCAGGCTAAAAGAGAGAGAAGATGATGTTCAAGCCCCTCAAAGGTTATGGGGCTGGGAAGTTCTAAAACTGTTAACTTCGTGTTTTTCACGTTAACTTCAGCAGGGAGGCGGGGACCACAGAGCAAAGTTCCACTCAGCAGCAAGCAAAGCACAGGGCAAGTAACGCGGGAGGGCGACGCCACCGGGCAAAAGCAGCTCCCGCGTCTGTGCTGCAGGGCCGGCGCTCGCGGCGTCTGTGAACCAGAAGGCTTCGGCGAACGGGACCTCCCGACACAGCGGAGAGGGGTCTTGTCCGGTGTGTAAGCACTGACCTAAGAAGTCTCAATATCCCGCTGCTGCCACACTAATCCCGATAAATGTCTCTTCTGGTTATTAGTACATAATCAACATCGGGCCCTGAGCAAATGACCAAATATGATTTGACCGCAACTCTGATGCATAAGTGCATCCATTAAGATTAGATTTGGTCAGCATAATCATGGAAAACAAAGCTCCTCTCCCTAATATGCACCAAATCATAGTCATCTTAATAGCATTTTTTTTCTGCTGAAGATCAACTATTATTTTGCTTGAAATAAAAATAATGGCGTGCTGTTACGAAATTGAAGCATGAATAATCATGAGTGACTAGAACTAAGTTTGAATAGAAATTAAATAATGCCATTGACTATTAAATAGATTAAAAAAAAACAAAAATACAGCATAAAGATGTTTAGAAGCTAGTTACAGATTTACACTAAATTGCATTACAGTAGCATTTCATGGGCCTTCGGCAGGCACTTTCTTTTTCAAAACTTGCACAAGGAAATAAAAACTCACAAGCCAACCAGGGTCTAATTATTTTTAAGTCAACGAAAATACACTTTTCCTTCTTTATGATCTTATGACAACTAGAAGAATAATTCTTTAACCTGGAAGAAAGTTTTAAGATTCATAAAGTATTTCTTGAAAAAAAATGTGTATGCCCCACAAATGAATTAAAACACAGTAGATTCTTAGGGGACAACACATAATAGTTCCTCAGAGAAGAACACCACTGTACATTCCACTTGGTTGCCTCGATTCCAGGAGGGCGCTGAGGTGGGAGGCAAACCTAACCTCCTGGAGTCTCCTCATCCTGTTGGAAGGTACCAGCCTGGCACCTGCCTTCTCTTGTTTTTATCTGCAGGCTCATGCTACACTCTGCCTTTGTCACCATCCTGCCCAGACCAGTGGCGAGATGCGTGCCATCTAGATACTAAGCAAACTCCCAGCTAGCTCGTTAATGCAGAACCGGTGTTTGGGCACAAGGTCTGGACAAAAAAAGCTCAGAAGAGTCGTAGTTCCACTTTTTTCTAGCCCAATGAGACTTTAAGATTGAGAACGGAGGCCCAGACGGCCTGGGGCCATGTGGCGCAGGTATCTGAAAAGCTGAGCCAGTTCTAGGGCCAGCTCCAAACAGCGTGGTGCTGAGAGGGGGGCCAGCTGTGCCGGGAACCAGCAGTGCCACCCCCATCCCACTGGTCATGCCTCAGAGGCGCTCGAACTTGGCCCTTCTTGCTTGGTTCACCCATGTCTAAGCCTGGAGAGGGCAGCATTTTTGGCTCATTTGCCTCTGTACACCTCCAGCTCTAACACAGTCATGACCAAACCGGTGACTGAAAGGCAAACAACTGTAAAATGGGCAACTCCCGAGACTCGCGCCCTGCTCAGTTAATTAACTAGCTAAAGTGAAGTCGTGAGTGCCTAGACTCGGCCCTGCAGCAGGCACACAGGGACGGTGGCGCCTGGTGGACAGGCACTGCTGTGACGGAGCGCAGAATGTGAAGGCGGCGTGTCACACAGGAGGTGACTTGGCCAGCGCTGGGGAGAGAGGGCCATGGCGGGGTGCGCTGGAGAGCAGGCAGCCCCTGGGGTCCCGGCACCTGCGCAGGAGACACAGCGCCTGCCAGCACCCTTACCTTCAGGTCTCTATAAACGACAAAGCGACTGTGCATGTGCTCCAGTCCCAGAATGATCTCCGTGGCATAAAACCGCATCTCCTTCTCGGAAAACACCCCGTGCTGTGAGAGGTGATAGTGCAAATCGCCCCCTTGGAGTCAAAAACACAGAGTCGTATTCAAAGTGTGTCCATTTCAAGGACACGAGCAATCTCTGCCATTCTAAACAGGGAGGGCACGGTAGACAAGGCAAACTGCGTCTGCTGTGCCTACGTGTCTTTTATTTCTCTTACTTGGGAAAACTCTAAAAATTACACAGAAACCATAAATACTGGGAAGATGTAAAACACACATGGGCCAGGATGGCATAAGCAAAGCCACAGGTGGAGGCTGGAGCCGTTTCCAGAGGGCACGACTGGCTAACCTGCTCTGGCTACTTAGGTCCTGCCTAATAACTGACCCGGTCTGCACAGCAGAGCAAACGAACAAATATAACCTGGCAGGAACTGACAGGCATTTGATGAAGGAAGTGCAGTGGTTTTCACTGTGTTTGGATTTCCCCAGTAAAATTCTGTCAAGTTTGCTACATGCTTGGGTTTTTGATTAGTAAAGTTTTGGACAAAGGAAATAACCATATCATAAAATTTGGGAGAAAGAGAAAGCCACAAATAGGGTATTTTTATGTTATAAGAGAAAAGCACATGTTGAGTTATTGAGCTCTCTACCCTTTCACATCCATGTGATCGAGAGAAAGCAAGATTGAAAAGATTTCCAGCATCACAGAAGACTTCCTGAGGTCCTTCTCAGTCAGCATCTCAGCTCCTGGCTTTGTGCAGGCAAAGGGGACTATTTTCTGACCTCTCACCAGGGATGGGTTTGCCTGATCCTGACAGTCAGAAATAGAACCACTTAGAATATGTACTGCTGCGTCTGCCTTCTCTTGTTCACTATTATGTTTATAAAATTCCTTCACATTATTGGCAAAATGTATTTTAAAGCAAATGCTTAAAACATAATAAAACTTCAAATGGATTTCAAAACCAAGTAGGTATTTCATTCATTGAATTTTATTTCCTTTTTTAATCCAGTTCTTGTTACTAAAAATAGTCTGACTACATAGCATGCCACTTTCTACTGCTGGCAGCCACATTCCTACCTAAAATTTTTTTTCAGGATTCTTGGGGACCCCCCTCATAGTTTTAGAAGGTACAGAACACTGGGCTAAAATCTATATGGGTCCAGAGTTAGTTCTTCAAAGTTGAATTTTAAATAAATTCTTTCTTTGGCTTATATTCTAAGCATTTCATTCTTAAAAGTTGAGGGTCAGGAAGCAAGCTAATAGGCCAGCTACATTCCAGAAAACCAAGTTTCACTTGTAAGCATTTTGTAAAACACTGTTCTAGAAAATGCAGCTTCCTGGGGAGAGACTGGGAGGGTCAAAAGGAAACTGCTTTCAGAGTTTCTAAAATGAATTTTAACTGATAATGAATGACTGAAGCGTTTCTTATACTTCAGGAGCACGGAGCCATCTGAAGAGCC